ACTCTTTCATTGGTTTAGCTCTGCAGTAGGAAATTTCTGATATGGCAAAATCACTTGTAAAGCAATGCAGCCTACCTAGTGGGCTTGGAACTGGATGATCTTGAGGTCCTTTCCAACCCTGACCATTCTATGTTTCTATGTTGGTGCCACCCCAAGTCTCTGTCAATGCCGAATTTGGCTCTGTTGACAATACTTCAGCACTGCTGAATTAGCAAATCTGAATCTAACATCTAACAATCTCAGTTTCACTTTGCACACATGGTTTGTTACATGTGTAGGATCACTCTTACCAGGGCTATTTCTTTGCCCCCTAACAATCCCCACTGCAATCCAACGGCCTTGAAAGTTCCCGTGTCAGGGCGAGAGGGCTCTTGCTGAACCATGCTGGTTGATCCCCAAGTATCAAGACTTAACAGCCAGATACCTAAACACATGACTGTGTGTATACCATAAAAGAACGCTGCTGCCTTTACTTCGTGCCATTCTTCACACCAGTGCAAATTTGCACAAACAAAAACCATCCACACGGGTGCTTGTTTTACACAGGGCTGGGTGACTACAATGGTGAAGAGCAGGGAAGCATCAAACCCCTTCCATTTTTCAGGTATGCACAAGGGTTTAAGAAAACCTAGAAGAGGTGATTAACTATTCCAGCCCAAACCAGGAAGGTCTTTTACTTGAATGGCCATCTGCCAATCTAAAAGGTACCAAAAGGAAGGAAATGCTCTTTGCAAACCTCACTGATAGAGAAGTGCTAGAGGCCTCTGCCAGTATACCAGTTAATCCATCTGCATATACATGTTTTAAAAACCACATACACAGTCCAGGGGGTTTGGCTGTACAAAATTTGTCCAGAAGAATGCACGTGCAAAATCCTGTGTTTACCACTTGGGAATTTCAGCCCTAAACCACAAGAGTTGATGGTGGTTTACCACTCTGGGTGCTGAGCTTCTGGCCAGGTTACAGTACGTGCTAGGTTTAGTAACTCTGAAAAGCAGTATGAATGATTAGTTAAAACAATTTTGTCATATCTCAATCTATTGTCCTTTACTCATCAATTTCAGTATTGTGCTCTACTACTACAACCTTGGAGATACTGTGATGGTGAAACACCTAACTTGGTTAAGCTGATTTTACTTATGTCTTTTGTTTCTATTGAGAAACTATGAGTTACTTTTCAGCAAAATCATTGTTTTATGTGGAAAAACAAACATCAATATTGAGATGGCTTTGAGATGCAGTTAATTCTAAAATTTATAATCTTTACAGAGCCTTTCTGCTTCCATTAGCAATTAGCATAGTCAATGAAAGAGAAGAATCAAAAGGGATTTATTGATCTGTGGACTTGTCACAATCGAGGAGTCATAAGTTCATTTTACCTGCTGGGAATCAGTAGTCAAAATGTGGGCATGTGTTCATTTACAATGCCTCTACACCACAAATACATGGAAGAAACCCTTCTTATACCTTCCTCTATCTCAACTAGAGCTAAGTATGTTCTCATCATTAACTGTGTGCTGGCTAATCTTGTATCAGGTACACAGATAATTTGTTTAGAGAGAACTGGTAATGTTGTGTAATTCACACAGTACCAGGCAGACAATTAGCATGGTATCATCCTGCACATGATGCTTTACAGATGGCTCTGTTGGCTTTTATTTCCTGGGGTTCCTGCGCAGTCTCTCTCTTCTTAATGACTCCTACTAGTACTGACAAATGACTCTCCTTTACACTTTCTAGGATGGTAGCCTCATTACCTCCAACCACTGTAGGAGGGAATGGTACATCTACTTAGATTCTCATTAGATCATCCCTGAGGAGCCCACTTTTATAACAAGGCTTAAGTGCTTCAAATCCAACTGTAAAATTACCTACAATTTATGAAAGCAGTGCCAGCATCTGTGGAACGTGGATATGCACACAGGAAAGCAGAGCTGCTAGCCTGCCTGGACCTGCCTCATAGACAGCCTGCTTCCAGCTTTACATGAAAGCAGGGGCTGTGGATGCTCTGAATTTGGGTTCCTCGCTGTGCCTGCACAGCAAAGTTTCTTACTATCTCAGATATGCTATAACTAGTGTTACGTGCTAACTCCACTAAGCAACAAGAGCACTCCAGTTTGCCAACACTGCAGGAGAAACTAGTTCCCACACCGCTGGTGTGAAGTTGAACAGTGTGTGTGTAGGTGCATGGGGGATGTTAAGAGATAATGGAGTAAGTTTAAATATAAAAATCAATCACCTGAGCTCAGCAGCCTCAGAAGTGAAATTCAGAGGCTTTTCTTCTTTCATTCTGTTTGCTCCACGGGGTAGTTCCCATTTCCTATAGCTTGATTTGTTAGGCAGGTTCCCCTAACAGTCAGGAATACAATTGCTTGCCTACACACAGAACAGCGTAATGCAGGTTCCTGCTGCCTTCTGAAGCATTCACCTCTGGTCTCACTTCACAAGCTAAGTTCACAGAATCAGGCCAAAAAAAAACATAAGCAACCAACACTGAGCCTTCTGTCAAGCTCGTTTAGTTGGTTTAATTCTAAATAGATAGAGGAAAATAGCTCAACAGCACCTGAAACCTTAGTTCTATTCAGGTTTTGTCCAACTGTCATTCATCAGCTTGTCCAGATGCATAGCCCTTATTTCCCTGCACAAAACTGAAAGTCATGAAACAGCCAAAGCATGGCTGTTTTCCAGAGCAGAGCTTTCAGCTGCATCCACAAAACCCTGGAAATAGTTACCACACAGAGAGAGCATTTGATTTCAGAGACCTTCCTCGGGAAAGGAAAGGGGGAACCTGGGAAAGTCAAGGACCATGTTCACTGTGAAGGTGGGTAGATTCCTTAAGGAAGTGTCTGTGAGCAGAGGAATACACATTACTCTGGAGCTCTTCTTGCACAGAAATCCTACGGGGGCTTTGCAATATTCTTGAATGCCTCTGAAAAATTCTAGGCATGTGAGATGCAATGCTGGCTCTCAATAAGAGTTTTGTCTCTGATTTCAGTAGGGTCAGGGTTTCATTCATTCATGGGCTGTTTTTGATTCTTTCATAGCAAAGACAGTACTTTATTGAGACAAGAACAAATTCAATGGAGAGTCTAAATGAGATTAATCTCATGAAGTCTAAGTTGATGTATATTATACCCTCTTCCAGCTCATTCAACATACATGTCACATCAGCAAACTCTAAGACTTTCTGAGGCATATTTAGCCCCTTCACTCCTCAATGTTCTTTACATTTGGCCTTGTACCTATCACATGTAATTAACCCCAGACAGTGCTATAGTTCTCATTTCAGACAGATTCACAGGGGTCTAATTCCCTAGTAGACACAGAAACACTACTCTCAAGTAAAATCATGCAGTTCTTTGAACTTTGAAAACAGACACTTAGAATACCCAAGGTAAACTGCTATGGATAAGAATATCAGGGAGTTGCATTAGATGCAGCCAGTGCCAGGATAATCTCCCTTTTCTGCCACAGATGTCAAAAGGGGGTACTTGGACACAGACACATGTGCTATGTGAGGAGGACAAACAAAAAGCCCATGTGGGACACCCCGATCAACCTCACCAGTTGATAACGAAATAGCTATTTAAGAACATGAAGTAGTGAAGAGGACACACAATGTAGCACAACTGGACTTCACTCAACACTACTCAAATGTTTAAGAAAAAAAACACGTCCCCTCCCGAATTATATACTGGGCAAGCTGTATTATTTCTTCCTATGAAAACACACCTACATCTTGTAATAGTTATAAGTCCCTATCATCTTGTCTTTCTTTAAGCGTGTGTGCACTTATATACATACACACACATATACACTACATGTATAGTCAGAGTGTATCTGATTGAGAACTATCTCCCATCATACTCCTTTTAGAGGACAAGCTAGAGGTTGTGCTGACTCAGGGAACATTACGAACATTTATTCATCTGATGTTTTGTGAGCACTTTGTTGATCACTTAACATGCTGGAAAAATTACAAAGGTCTTCAGACCTTCTGTACCCTTCAATATTTTGTAGCAATGGGAAGACAAAAACTTTTCCTAAGCTGTTTCAGTAGCTACTTATCTTCACCTTAAACAAGCCAGAGAAATAATGATGATTTTTATCTCATTTAAGTGTAACACAGGATCTTACTGTATCTTTGCCTGCTCTATGGAAGAACCTTCTGCTACCACACAGGTACATAGACACTGAACACATCACTACCAAATCCTTCCATCTGATAGTGTTTAATATATTAACAGCCATAACTTTTTCACTATGAGATCTGGAATTATTTGACAGCCCTTCTCTGTAGCTTCTGCAGTGCTTCTTGTGCCACCCATCCTGCTGGGACTGTGGACCTACCAATTCAGTTTCCTGTAGATCTTATTCAAGTACTTAATGTCTCTACTTAGCTGTTGTAGCTACAGTACCTCTTTCTGCTGTCCTATCCATCCATCCTAACATCAACTGGAACAGTCAAATCCTCTTTTGAATCTCTCAAATGTACGACATCCTCAGATGGTGTACACTGCACAGCAATATGAACTTCAGCTTTCAGGAGCATTGCTGAGTTAAACACATAAATCCTGTCCTGGCCTAAGACCTTTATGTAGAATTTTCAGACAATCATGTCTGAAATGTTTTACTGATAAGGACCATACCTACTCCTTTGTCTACAGTGCTGCTTTTAATCCCCTTTGGCCTTTTGTACAGATAACTGAGATACATACCTAATCTACATGCCAGGTAATGCTTCGAAATCTGAAAACAATAGGCATGGATTTCCAATAGTTCTTCCAATTTATCTGTTGAAGAAGCTATTTTCTCAACAGAAGAAGAATGAAAATGCCACTTGAAATAGTGTGAGCATTAATTCAGATTTCCAGCAAAGAAATGTTGAAATTGCAAGGATTATGAATTAACTGCATGCTGAAATGAGCAGTGTATCTATTTTTAAGGGTCCCAATCTTTTAAGCTTTCAGTGAGTTTTTTCTTTTCTAGTGACATAATAGAGAAGTTGAAAGTGCATATGAACAAAATTCATCTAAGGAAAGGCAGGAGTAAAATTAGTAATGGTGATCAGAATGCTTAAAGAGCTATAACATTAAGAGATATGAGCATTTCTTGAAAGTTCATGGCAACAACTCCCTTGCAACTGTTTTTCGTCATCTCCAGGTTATGATCACCTACATTATTCAGAGGTGTCAGAATAGAATCCATGCTCAACTTACTCAAATGCCTCTTTTTTGAGCTTTTGTAGGTGGTAGGAGCTATGACCTTCTTCCCCCAGTAGAAGAGAAGGCACAGCCAGAGAGTGCTTCTACACAAATAAAACCACACTCACATTCACAAAAAGCAAATAAAAACCCGTAGAAGCTGAATGAGCTGAATGAGCTCCTTGAAGGGACACAAAGAAAGAACAACCTTCCTCCAAATCAAACCATGGAAAATAACAGACTGAAAAAGAGAAATGGCCATATCCTCATGTAGTGTAAATCCCTGCAACTCTACTGCCTTCAGCAGAGCCTGCTGATTCTCATTAGTTGAGGAGAGGCCTAGAGATTTTAGTTTTACTTTGCAGGGCGCTAATTCTTGCCAGTGTGAGTAACAGTGATTAACTTCCTTGTTGCCATTGATCTTTTTTAATTCTCCACAGTTTTTGATCACCTTGCTCTCATCCAGACAATATCTGTAGTCGATTTTTAAATGCTTGTTTAAGAATGTGAAAACAATAATTAAATCTGATGTGCTAACTGCTGGAGTGATTGTTATGGACTGCTTTAGAAAGAACCTAAATTAGGCACATCTAGGTGCTAAACAGGAAATGTCAGTGCTTTCCTAGGTGTTTCTAATAGGTAATTGCTTGATGGCTCTTCAGCTAGGGCCCTTAGAAATGACATATTTCCTCTGAAAAAAGGACATTATGTCTATTCTAACATAGTTTTTGGTGTAACAGCACATTTCAAGGCATGCTTTGGCGACCTTACGGAGATACACCTTATTAGCTTTGAGAGAAGGCTAATAAATCTCCAGCCTGGCGGGTACTCCCTGGGGAGGCCTGGCTCCTTACCTTTGACATGGGGGATGAAGTGGTGTCGGAAGGGGGAGTTGGGGCGGGAGTCATGGTGCGTGGAGCTGAGACTGCTAGTGCGCAGGTATGACAACCGCTGCACACCAGTAGAGAGCAGCTCTGCGGCAGCAGGGAATCGGGGGGCAGAACAAAATGAAAACAAAGAAAAACAATAAGAGAAAGGCAGGGAAGGAGGCTTCAAAGGAAGGGAAAAAAAAAGGCATTGAGCAATTAGGATTCTGAAAAGAAGGAAGGAGAAAAAAAAAAGGTTAAAGACATACAGAAGGGTTCATAAACGTTAGACAAAATTACAGGAGGTATTAGAAGAGAGGCTCAGATTTGAGCTGCATCACTAATTTAGCATCACATTTATTGGCTTAATGAGCTTCTGATCTATGCCTTGTTACCAAAAAGTAGCCTGCTGCTGGCATGCAAACATCAGAAACACTGACGCGCCATTAGTTAAGAAAGCAGCTGTGTTGCAAAGTGCCTGACCAACAAGTGTCAGTCGAGAGGCAGGCAAGCTGTTTTCTATTGTTTTAAGACATTCCAAGAATGCTGCCAACATCAGCTAGGGCACTGCAGGAGGAAAAGGCTGCAAACTTTTTCAGAACTCATAGCACTCCAATTTTTGAAGAACCTTATTGCTGCCAACGTCAATGCAGCAGTTCACTTCTTTCTCAAGGGCTAGCTGGAAGCCCAGGAGAAGTTATCTGGGGCCACTGGGTTGATTCAGAGAGAAATTATTCTTGCAAATCACATGAGGGTAAGAAGTGCCATTAGGAGAATAATGGTAAATATACACGTGCTGTTATTCAACATTAATAATTACGTTAGGAAAATTACAAGGTAACATCAACAATTCCCCCAAAGCAGGGTAGCAAAGATCAAAATGATGAATTTGATAGAATTACTTCTGTGTCATATGAGAAACAGAAACAGGTGAGCCAAAGATGAGATCATCTGAACAGAGGTAAGTTTGGACAAACATCTTCTCAGAAAACCCTTCAGGCTTTGACCTTTTGAAGATTCCACACTTAGATCCAAACTCTGGCTTGAGCCCATCCACCCATTACAAGAGATACATAAACAGAAACTGCTTCTGGGGAAGGTCCTTGACTGAACACAGACAGTAAAACTCAATCACAGTAAAGCCTGGAACAGGGCCTGGATTTATTCATATCCCTGAGGCCACCGATACAAATGGAAAAATCCCCTCGGAATTGCCAAACTCAAGAGACAGAAGTTTGCAGCTTTTTCACACTTTTAAGTCTCTTTCGGTTTCAGCTGTAACGTCATCTTAAAACAGAGTCATGTTGTCAGCACCAAGTATCAGACACAATTTGCTTCTGTCCCACCTCCCTTGGGTCCTTTCAACAAGGCATTCACTGACAGACACAATTAGCTGCTTTCAGCCCACCCCCACTAGGAAATGGCTACAGCATTCAAGTTCCACAGTGGTGGCTCTATTACAAATCTTTAATCTTAAAAATGCAGCTCATGTTGCATACGGGCTTTTGGCATCCCAACCTCTCAGCTGTAATCACCAGGGAAGATGAAACCGCATGATTGTGTCACTTAACTTAAAAACAGATCACAAAGATTTCATTCACCACCATATACAATAAAATCAGTCTTGAGAAGTCTTCAATAAGTAGCATTTAGAGATACATTTTTATGTAATTTGGGTGTGGATGAGCACTTTCATATCTTGCTTTTAGATACACAGCCAGTAATTGTGAATGCACTGGGAGCCTGAATGACATGTGCGTTTTATACATTGTACATACAACCTGCACATCACTGCGAAACCAGTAAATGAAGTTTGTGGTTTCAAACGTTCCCAGGCAATTTCCTATGGAATTAAGGTATCTACCTGTGAGTCTGCTTTAAAAAATGACTACCAGTCTGGAATATCTGGGGGTTTTGCTGCTGAATCTGAGATTCCATAGCTGCACCAAGCTTCAAATGAATTGCTTTTTTTAGGAGGGAGGAATCCTGCATTACTGACTTCTGTATAGTCAAGCCATAACTTTGTTTCCAGTATGTGATACTCTTTTCCCAAATTCCAGAATGAAGTTTGTAATTCACTGCTGTGAATTATTGCTTGCTTTCAGAAACATACAGAGATTGTTAAAATAACGAATCAGAAACAAAACCAGAAGATCCATATTTATAAGAAACACTCATCAGCCCTGTGCAAAAGACTGCATCAAGAAAGAGTAAAAAAACAGGCAGAAAAGGAAATATTAAAATATGCAGCAATGTTTCAATCCTAAATATTCCCTGTTAAGAGAAACAAGTGCTTTGCTGTGCCACTAAGTGCCATAGTGAAGGAACAATAGTTTCACAAATACTTGTAATGCAGTTGCCCTTACCAGGTCTGTGGAAATGCTGAGGGGAACGTGACATGGTGGGTGTGTAGCTATGACGACTGTACACAGGAGAATTGATGGAGCCCTGACTAGTAGACCTGTGAATCATGCGATCCCGAACATCTTGGTAACCCTGCAGAACAGAAGCATTCACCAATAAATGGAAATACACGTGACACATTTTTAGCAGCACTTAACTTTCATAGATCTGACACTGAAATGACAATATCCCTTCAGCTTCCAAGCTCCTTCATTATGACTGCTCTCCTATGATCTGTTCCAAAGACTCCAGTCCATTGTTATAGTCTGAGTCAGAATTCAGCCTTGGAAGGCTCCAACTCCACCTGTAATTTCTATGTAATTCTATATAATTCCAGATTTGCCCACATTCCTATGACTCCATAAGAAGGGAAGCTGCGTTCAGAGTTATGTCTGTCCTGCAGCACACTGCACAAAATACGTGAGCTGCCCTTCAAGCAGCTGACTTGGAGACCAGCAAGAACTCAATACTGCAGCACAGAGCTCTCTGTGGCTTCATTCACCATGTGTCTCAAATAGCTACATCAAAAGGTACTTAATATCCAAATTAGATCCCCCTTGTATCTGAAGACATGACACCTGCTTGTGTAGCAAAATCCAATTTAGTTGGTTTCCGGGGGAAAAAGCCAATAAAAAGAAACAAAACCCCCAAACCAAACAAACCCACCCTCCCCAGCCCACCAAAACTCCATGAGGCAAACCAAACCGAGACAAAAGGTATTGATGTCAATGCATGAAGATTTACAAGAGATTTCACAGTCACTTTTTTAACACGTAGCAATCACTATAACTTCTATGTCACAAATAAGCAACGCTCCCAACCTCCAAAATGATAATGATGCTTCAGTGGCATTTATTGTATCCTGACAATCAACTTTCCAAATGTTTCGTGTTATTGTGATGTGCAAATTAACTCCTATGGTAAAGGAGAACCAAACCAAACCATAGTTATGCTTTCTGCAAGACAAAGCTGCAAATGTTTTAGTAGCAAACGTGGCTTATTATTTAGATGCTTAGAGCAGCATTTTAACTCCCGAGACCCAAGTCTGCCTGTGCCACAAGGATGAATGTACAGGAAGTGACCTCTGCTGGACAAATGACTCTGTAACAAATGAGTAGGAGCAGTAGCTTCATTTTATGTGCAATCTGTCAATAAGAATGTAATGTTTTCTTTTTACAACTCATTTTTGTTAAGTTTCAATATTCAGAAAACATGTCTATGTGGCAAACAGATGGATCAGACCGGTACCAAAATCAACACCTGCATTTGCTGAAGTGAATAATTCAAATCACAGCAAGATATTGCCCCCCAAGGTTCCACCAAACTTACTTCTGCAGAAGGGGTAGGTGATAATGTCCTTGGAGACTGCAAAGACATAAAAATAAGGTTACTGAATCATCATTTCATGTGCTGGGCCAGAAAATGGTAATCTAAATATTGCTGCAAATATTACATATGGCAATGTGAAGTGGTAATACAGAAATTACTGAGGCCATTGTAGCACTGGAACTTGCTCTTTCCATGTTCTCAGGAACCGGTCCATAAATCATTGAAGCAATTGAAGTTTCTGGGAGAACCTTTATAAGTGTGATTAATTCAGTCAAATATCATGAACCATCATCTCAGCCATCTAATCACTGTGGTAATTAAAACACAGCCATAAAGATCAAAATCGGAAAGGGTTATTAATTTAATAACCATGCCTGTTATGAAGAAATCTTTAAAGTGGAAATCAAAAGTAAATGATCTTTACTCAGAGCTTTGCATGGAAAATCAGAAATACAGAGTAACTTCCAGGATGAAGCATGTTCTTCCTCCAGCACACACACTCTGGCAAAAATGTGCTTCTCCCCAAGGCCTTACATTTCATACCCATGCAAAGGAGCACGTAGCTGTCATCAGCATTTCTTTGATATGATCTCCTTTAAATCTGTGTTCTACCATGGTTACGTGAGGAGAACAGACAGGGATTAGAATGAAAGAACTATGCAAAGGCCAATGGGCAGAAATATGCACAATATTATGAAAAGTTTCTGTTACAGAGATAGGGAAACTGAAGCAAGAAATACCTTTAGAAGTGAAGTACAGGGTTATGCATATGTTCACGGTACAAACAAGAACAAAGACCATGTTATGCACCCTTTAATCACAAGACTATTTGAAGCTGGAAGATCAGGATTTAGTTATTTTCTTTATGCACTAATCTGCAATATTTTTTAATTGCCATAATAAACTGGGCAAGAGATTATGCTTTTAAATGAGACCACGGTTATTACAGAATGATACAGCTATTAAGATAATGCCTTCAAAGGAAAACTGCTGATTCTGGTCTAACTGCTACAATAATATACAACAGCAGTAGTGTAAAATGTAAAACATATGCAGCATTTCTGGTAATAAATATCATTTTGCACTGAGACACCATTAATTCTCATGGAGCTGGTGACACTGTGAAGGGAAAGATTCCAAAGGAGTAACATTTGTTTATTTGGGTACAGAACATCTTCTTTTCTGCAGGTTTCCATAAAGCTTTTTATAGGCTGCCCTTGTTACTCTCCATCAAAGCCTTGAATCATAGAATGGTTTGAGTTGGAAAGGACCTTAAGATTATCTAGTTCCCACCTCCCACCTCACACTAGAACATGTCGCCCAAGGCTCTGTCCAACCTGGCCTTGAACACTGCCAGGGATGGAGCATTTACCACTTCTTCGGGCAACCTGTTCCGGTGCCTCACCACCCTCACTGTAAAGAACTTCTTCCTCATATCTATAACTGCACAAGTCAGAGCTATAATGAAATAGTATAGAACAGCAGCTACAAAAGACTCTGCTTCATTGAAACATACTGTAGCATCATTCTCTACAAACACTGAGAGCTAATCTAAAACTTTCAACATGATTGAAAAAAAGGACTTGTTGTGATGTCCATTCCCAATTTATCTGCTAGTAACTTATGTGTTACTGTAAACAACTAAGTTTCCATAATCTGCTGTGGTTGCCTAGGTGCTAAAGTAATGACTACTGTAAAAGGTAGTAGTAACTACTGTAAACAGGAATCTTAAGGCTGGGAAGGAAGCCCGGAAAGTAACGTGCTGAATCTACAACCAACTTTTCATGTATTCTTACTCCATCACTAATCCAACATCATCTCATTGCTTTTTGGGAAATTGAACCACACTCTGGAGCCAATTTGCTGTTTTATCACGCAGAGGTGAACCACCATATCTCAGACTCTGAGTCTGCCAAGGGATGCTTGGGTCTTCAGGGTTTATGAGGTCTTTTAAAATCTGGTCTATCACAGAAGTCTACATCAATCAGTTTGAAACACGCTGTGCAGTCAACTGAGAAGAAATAGCTCAGCTCCGGAATTGTAAGTCAGAGGAAATATAGAGGGAGGACTCCAAATGAAAACACAGAAAAGGGGAAAGGAGAAGAGAGGAAGAGTCATCTGGGTAGAGAACCTTTTCTCACCAAACTTACAGTAAACTTTTACACACTGCCAGAGGCTCAATGCTCTGTCACTTTGAGCTCTAAGGGGCTGCTCTATACCTGAAGTCATACAGGTCGTTCTGTGCTCTGGGGAATTTCTGCAAACTTTTACACTTTTATAGCACAAATTCCAACATTTCGCACCAACCTCATTTTAACACTCTTTTTATTGAACTACCAGGTAGGATGCCTGCTCCATTTGGAAGTATCTGTCCCTTTTTCTGTTTTCAACAGACAGAATACTAGAAACAAATGACATGGAGGTAAAATGCTGCTTCTCTCAGTATTTCTGCAACAAAAGAGCTGAAAAAAGACAATTTCAGTGCTAGTGAGGCTGCTGTTAGCAGGGCAGAAGGACTACATTAGTGGTCAGCCTCAGTAGCAGAAAATTCATTTGCAGATCTCATTTTGTATCTACTCATATCTTTTATATCCTAAGCTAACCCACCTCTCCATGAGCTCCCTTTCTCTTCCTTGCTAACTGCTGGCGGGTCTGTAACAAAATGCCTGGTCTCACTAGATGGTGCTATGTGAAAACATTTTTCACCACAGACTTCCAGAGAAACAAGATTGGGATTTAACTGAGCAAGAGAGATTATGAGCGAGAAACTTTTCAGAGCATTTACCTTCCATTGCAATAAAGAAGAAAGTCTCATGCTGTGTCTTCTCACTTTCTACATCTAAGGTACGTAATTTTCTTGTAGCCCACTCCCTGTAATTACGGTTTGTCCCCACTCCTGGGTTAATTTTGGTGGCACATCTTCTTTGTACACCCAGAAATGTTTCTTAGCTGAGTTTGGCATTTTTTTTTTCTGTTTTAAAATCACAGTGAAGGGCATTTCTAGTGTACAAGCTTAACATCAGGGTCCCCTTTTATTTACCACCACCACGTCCACAGTTTGCCAAGAGAATGCAGGTTAAATCACTCAAAGTCTAAAAATCCCTGCTGTGACTAAACATGTCACCTCCTTTGCTTCTTAAAGATGATGGTGACTGATGTATGATGTTCTGAGTAAGTTGTTACTCAATTATCACAACACAAACACAAAGTAAGAGATCACTCCACCCCAGTGGGCTTGTGTTCTCATTAGGGCAAGGGAAGGGAGGAGAAACAGGTACAAAGAGGTGAGGTAACTTGCCCAAGGTGACAGAAGTCAGCAGTAGCACTGGGTGGAAACTCCAGATCAAAGGAAGGTTAGAGCCCTTCTGTTTCCACAACAAATTTTTGTGTTCACTGGAAACTAATGAGATTTAATGCTGGTGGAAATAGTGGATAAGAAAACTCCAAAGGCTTTTGCTTATCCTCAGAACAAGCAAAAGAGCCAACAGCTTCCACCATACTGCTTCATCAGCCTCCAACCTACTGCTTTATCAGTGAGAAGCCTCCCCTTAAGGACTAACAAATAGCTCGCCTTCTCTGGGTGAGATTAGCTCCTCCTCTGTGACTAACAAGACGCTTCTGTGTGTAGAGGGTTTTGTGGAATGGGTGAAGCCTATTGGAACTGGTCAGAGGTCACCAAAACATCTCACAGTGGTTTTGATCCAGATGTCAGCTGGATTTACCAACAACACAAAACTAAGGGGAGAAATTCTGTAATAGTCTGATTTGTTAATCTCTTATTTTATTCCTGAGCTCAACTGTCTCCTGAATTTCCAACTCATGTTAAAATTTAAAAGACTAAGGCTATAAAACATTAAAGAACAAAGGAGAAAACCTGAGGCAGCTGTGATCTGAAGGTGGGCAGAATACTTCGCTAAGAAAGCAGATTACCAGTCACTGATCTGGGCAACATCAGAACACTGGTGCCTGGATGAATTACTGTACTTCCTTTTTCCTCAGCTCATCTTCAGTTATAGCCAGTAAAATCATTGAGACTGCAGAGAAGTAAATCTATTTCCATGTCCATTTAGATTTAAATTCAGGAAGTCTGATTTACAGTCTGGTGGTATTAAATGACAAAACCTGCTTCACAATCTGCAATAGAACCATGTAAGTAAGTAACTGTAGCTATGGAAGTTCACCTGAGAAAACTGGAGGACCCTACCACCTGAAAGATATATTTAAATACAAATTTAAGAGAATAAATTAGGTATGTTTTTTCTATCACTGCAGGACACAAGAATCCTTCCTAAATGTCAGCACTTTAAAATGTGAGGCAACTCTTTCCGTAACTAACCTGGCTTTCCCAGGTGGAAGAGCAGTTCATCTTGACCTGGTTCAGATTTTATGCAGTCTGGCAGAGTGCTCTGGAAACACATTTCCCTTCAGCATGTGAGAAAGCATCCTGCTGCTCTTAATCCTTTTACTGCCATAGAACACCACGGTATTCCTCATATTCTGCTGTGAATATTGGTGCTTCACAGCATGACACCAGGTTGGTTTTTGCCTCATGTTCTGGATTTTGCTGTACCCAAAGACTCAACTATCCATGTGAGCTATGACAACAGGCACAGAGCCAAACTGCAAGCCTCCCCCTGCCATTCCTCTGCCAGTGGCTGGTGTTAATATAGGTGTTTAACTGTATGTTTAATTGTGCAGTTCTGCACATGAGGCATCATCACGATGTTTCCCATTAAACCCAGTTCGAACAGACAAAAAGCACTTGGAACAGCAGCAGCAACAATATCCAGGAGTGTCAATTAGAAACTGTTTCAAAAGAGGGCAGAAGCAGAGCAGGCTTTGAATAAAGCATACAGCAGAATGAGTTGTGTGTTGGTTCATTACCTCTCCAAGACTCTGTCTCTCCTGTCTGTCCTCGTAGGCGGAAGAGTAGAATGGCTCATATGTAATTAGGTCTGGACGTTCAATGTCATAAATGGCCTTGACTTTGGGAATGGCTGCTAAATCCTTGTAATCAAGGATTTCATTGTCTACTTTTGCCTGAAGGTCAAAGACAGAAGATAAATTAACTTACACAAATGCACTGGTAATTTCTGTTCTACACAATTTATGATTTCTGTGTATTTGTTGTCACACTGTTGCTATGGAAAACCCTTTTTGGCACTGTACATGCGAAGGGATTGCTTCTTGTTCTTCTCCAGCAGGCCTCCTCTGCAAAAGCACACAGTGTCTTCTCAGTTTAGGAAAGAAAGAGCATGGCTTATATAGATCCAAGACAAAAGTTTCTTATCCCCAGTAGCGAGCTGGAAACTTCAGCTCTGAAAATTATTCACTTTGTGGCCTCAGGCAAGTATTTTCACCTTTCTGCTCTTGTTTTCCCACATGTAAAATGTGTGATAACATCAACTTAGTTTGTAAATTACAGAGATTATGAGAGGATTTCATGCACGTGACCACAGACAGAAATTCAACCTATAACTGTGCACACAAGAGGAAACACAACTTATTACAAGGAAATCAGAAGGCAAGGAGGACTATTTGTCAGGACTGGGTATACAAGCTCCCAATTCAAATCATTATATTGCACTCATCACTCAGCCTATACTCGAGTTTCTGACTAAGGCATATGTTTCTTACTAACTGCATACCACATAGTTCAAACATTGACTGCTTTTTCTGCTATAACTGCAAGGAACTCTTGACTAGTTAAAACATGGAGGTACGAAATCAGTCCCAAAGACAGCTGCACTCATTACAAGGAGCTAGAAAGAGGCGTACAGTTAACTAATATCTTTCCTGACTTCAAAGAAGACTTAAAAAAAACCCCCCAACATCATACACTTTCACCTACCTACAGAACTACATTTGATGATTAAAACTGAAAGAGAATATTTAAGTTGGGTTTCAAGTCTTCTGCTAAATATATTATTTATTCATAGGAGGCTACACAAGGAGACAAGGCTGATCTGTTTCTACTCACATTCAGTTCCTTTCTTCCTGAGTACTATTAGCACCGAGTGTTTTCAGATTAAGGTGCATCTGCCTCCCCAAGTTCTCCTAATAACCACTGGTGTCGGTGGTTCTTAAGCAATGCCATAAATTAGAAACAATACAACATATACTTTGATTGAGAAACAAGGTCTGAAATAGGAAATTCACTTTCTAAAAATAGCTTCAAATCTGTTCAGGTTTTACTCACCAGATATAACAAAATCCCTTAAACCAATTTAATCCTTAAAAAATGTAGGTATATTCATGTATGTTATTTCTGTGTTATTTTTACCACACCTTGTTAATTAGCTGCAAATATGTGTGGATATTCTTAACCCAGTATAAATCACCAGATATTTTTGTAGCCCCTGGTTGAGGTCACCATGTTCCCTTACAGCCTGTGCTGTTGAGCAGCAGTTAAATTTCGTAAGCTACAGCTTCTGAAGCTGATATTACCAGCAGTTCCAGGACATGCTCTGTGTTTTGATATCTGCAGTGTGAACATTTTCAATGTATCAGCTAATTTTTGTTGTTGTTGTTGAAATGCCCTGAAGAATTAGTATCAAACTCAAACTCAGGACTTAGCATTTGTAATTTTTGTAATTGTCCTGCATTATTATACATGTAAATGAAATATCTGTGTCTTACACTACATTTTCACCTATATAATCTTAAGGTTACCTCTAAAATTGGTAATTCAGCATTACACATAGGTAATAAGGTTTGCCCTGTAATCTGCCTCTTCTTCCCAGCGTACCTTCATCTTTGCTACTCTCACAGGGGACTCTCTCTCACTAACCTGCTTTCCTGTGATTCTCTTCCTTAGCTCTTACCCTTCACTTCTGCCTTGGATTCTGTGCAGGTTATATGAAAGCATGTTTTATATGAGGAAAAGGTTATGTGGATTTTCAAGGACAAGGACTCTTAAATAGGTGTGAGTTTTTGGAAGTGGAGGTTATATGCATAGATATACAGCAAGTTTGAGAAGGGGCTGAGTTGTTCTACCCTAGTACATTTGAGTTGATATTCTTCCTCCTTAGAATTGGATTACTACAGCCTGTGAACTTCTCTGCCAAGAAAAAAGTGTACTGAGATTCACAACACTGAAATGTGGGAAAAATGGTATGAAAGAGGAGGAAAACTTTATTCCTCTGAAAATTTTGGGCTAAGCTTCTGCTACTGTATTTCCACTTTAACCACCTAAGATCTTACGGGCTCAAAAGGTATCAATAATGAGGCCAAGAAGGGAAAGAAATCCTCTAAAATAATGAAAGAGGAAGCTTGATGACTGAAGGAATCATATTAAACCCTGCATCCCAGATAACCACAAACAAAATAGCCTATCAATAGCTTTGTACTTTCAGCACTGTTAGTTTAGTAAAAGAAGGATGCTTAGTATAATTCTTTTTCTTGAATTAAAACCCCTTTCCTTTGCACAACCAAAACATCCGACTTCTGAAACGGAAGGTGTTGTATCAGCCAGGCTTCTTTTATTGTGGCTGACCCTCCTGCCCACATCCTGCAGCTGCAGACAGCAGCTTTCTTAAGAACTGCATATCGAGATCTCCTCACATAGCCCCTAAAAAGGCAAATGATCTGCCTGCCTTCTGCCCCTCTTCACATCACCAAGTGACTTCAAGAGATTTACTGTATATTTCTAAGGGAAATTTATTGTATATTTCTATTTAACCCCTAGAAAAAAAAAATCAGTATAAAAGAGACTTATTTCAGTATAGAGTATTTCATATGCAAACAAAGGATCAGCAGCTTATTCATCAGAAGGAATACTTACATAGATAGTGTGGCCTGGAGAGCCAGGTATACTGGAACCTGGTCTGGAATAAATGCTTTCTGATGATGTTCTTGTAGGCTGAAAAACAAAGAGCAACTTTTCAGAGCAACCTGAAGCCATAACGTTGGTAATTTTGGTTTGATGTGAAGAAATCTGCATACATCTTGAAATGAACTGAATTTAGGAAAAAATGTCAACACAAATGCAAGCAAATTTCACAATCTTTGTGAGGCAAGTGGGCTTTTTTATATTGGTAGGGTTTTTAAAGGAGTGCTGTGAGAGGGGAAAGAGGCTTTCTAAATCATAGAATGTAAAAGACTGACAACAATAATGAACAAAATCAAACAACACCTGCCAGAGACACTGCAAGGAGCCATACCAAGTATGATCCAGGATAGCCCTGCTAGCCATTTAACCAAAATGTTAGTTCACAAATAGCTAGAGGTATCAGCAGTTTTCAGCAGGCAAACTGTTGAGAGGAGCACAGCACACGTGTTATCACTTTCCAGATGTTCCATCACTGGATTTCCATTATGAATACAGAACTAAACTCAGTCCTTCTAAGTAGAAGGACCAGAAATCCTGGGCTTGGAGCTGTTCCCTAGATCCGCAGCACAACCTAGGTGCAACATGAAAGCTAAACTGCTGGTTGAAATGTCATGATTCTCTCTGTTCAATGACAGTGTCCTGCAAACTGACACTCATGAGGACAGTCATACCCTTACAGAGCGAGTGTTGTTCCACATTAGTGGATTTTTCACACTTCACAGAACTAAAATTCCTTGAGGAATTTTCTGGGAGAAAAGCCAAACTTAGCATGGACATGTACGGATCCTGAAAACTTGATGAATCTGAAAAACATCTTTTCAATCAAAAGTCGCCCAGGCTATTATGGCAATTGCTCCTGAACTTGGCACACAGCAGACACACAACAGTAGTCAACGATATCACACTTGCAGCTGAGAAACCATGAACAATTTTTGCTCCCTAATTGACTGCAAAGAAGCAAATCCCATCACAAAGCAGTATATCAGCAGATGACTGATGACACTAGTGCAGTGGGATACTTCAAAGCCACTGAAAATTAAATCTTGGTAAATAGTCCTTACCTTGTCAGCTTGTGACATTGAACTAAAGGACCTCCAGGCACACACTGAAGAGAACAAGGCTTGACAGCCTGGCTCACTGGCTTTGCTTAGGAAGTATCTGGAGTGAACACAACAAGGCTACTGGACTCTTCTTACCTCTCAGCATATGGTCCTCGAATGGATCATTCAAGAGACCCCAGAGACTTTCTACCTTTTATTTCATAGCCAGGAATGCTATTGAAACCATCCGTGCAAAAGAAACCTGCTAAAAACTGGTTGTGGATCACAGAGCAGGCTTTCTCTGACTTCACTTGTGGAAATGAAATCACCACAGTCAGGAAGGGTCAGAGGAATAAAAGGCTTTGAAGATGTTCCACCAGAAAACGTGAAGATTCAGATCAAACAGAGCAGATGTGGCCGTGGAGTGACACAGCCACAAACCCTCTCCAGAGAATGTCTGAGAACATTTTTCTCAGCTGGACCTTTATGTGTTTCTTTCCTTTTCTCTCTGTTGCTGCAAATTCCTACATCCCAAAAGGGAAGAGAAATTTCTCAGCTGCCCTTAAGCTCCTCCCATTGTGCAATCAAAGCAAAAAACCCAACAACAACCACTTGTTTCATGGAAATGTTACAAGGATTAAGCTGGAAAATCTGGCTGTTGTTGAGAAACACTTTATTCCCCCCTTCCACTCTGCCATTTCACCACTGTCTAAGTGGAGATACACATAACATGTTGCTGCAGTTGCTATGGATAACAGTTGTTTTCATTACAACATAGGGAACAGTACTAAGCATTTGAGGTACTGTTAGGAGTGTCTCTGTTACCTTTGGCTTTTGGCAAACATACTCTAAGAGTTTTAAGAGTTCAATTCTCCCTGTTGCAGGAAAACAAGTGCTAGAGGCAGTTACAGCTTCTTCCCACCTAGCAGGGCCTCTTGGCTGCTCTTCACCCTGCATCTTTTATAACCACTTCAGCAAACAAGAAATCCTCAGCCCTCGGTCCATCTCCTCAGCCTCATCTCTTCGTGTCACTGCTAAAAGGCCTTCCAGCAAAGGAAAACTTACTCGTATTTCTCACTTCAGTGAATTATAAATGGAGTTAGACACCTTAAGAAGATAGTTTCAGCCACACCCTGCTAACAACTTTCTTTGGTGCTCCTAACCCTGGAGTACAGGAGCAGTTGTCAGATGCACTGTCAAGTTGTAGCACCTTGTTCTTCATTTATGCACTGTGCTTCTGCTTCATTAACATCCCATAACCTAGCCATGAGCCAGATAAGACACCCTTTAAAACCAGTTTCCTATTTTCTGTAATTCTTCCTGCATACACCAATTTTACCTTCCACCTACTGCAAACCTCCACGCTGCCTGGGCAGGACACCATGCTACCAGCCCCTGCCTAAGCACTCACCATTCCTCTCCTGAGGAGCTTACTCCAAGCAGATCTAAAACTGTGGCTCCTCTCTTCATTTATGACATACTCTTGAAAACAGTGCATGAAAAAGAAGACTTCTACGTCTACTCTCCCCCTTCCTGCCTCACTTTGTCCTATTTCTTGCTTTGAATTACACAGGCTGTTTCCATCGCAGATGGCTCTTTCCTATTCTGCTGCTTCCCATATGGTCTGGAATCCTGCACAGCTTTGCACTTTCCCCTAAAGACAATTGCATTGCATTTAAAAACATTTGTGCTGCTTGCCTTAACAAACATACACTAAAGATTCCTCAATATAAGCTGTTCCTCTGGCATACTTTAAGTTGCTATGGTTGGCTCCTCTCCTAAGGGACCTAGAACAGCTCCTGACTGAATATCTGTGACAGGGTATGGCTTTTATTAGATTATACATGACACCTTCATTAGCAGTCCAGAATCTCTGACCCTGTGCCTTTGTATCATAAAAAGGTGGAAAAAAACACACTGCAGGTCAAGTTCTCTACTGATCTAACTGCAGTGGGGTGTAAATTCCAGCTGAGATGAGAGCTGATCAGAGCACAGGTAAAACAGGAATAGCAGCTATCCTTGATGTAACCCTTAACCTTCAGTGCAGATGTCATATGAGCATCTCTTGCACACATTATTGGAAGAAAACAGGTAAAGAAATTAGAGGAAACACCCTTTAATATGAATGCATTAATTTAGAGGTATTTCCTTCCACCACAGTAGTTCTGTGACACTTGTTCTACACTCCCAGCAACAAAACAAGTTAAGCTGCCTTACTTCTACAAACAGAATCACTTTTCAGGTGATTGGTCTTGTTCTTGAAGGATTCAATTAGAGCTTTTCATAATGCCACCTTTGTGCAGTGAAATTTAAAGCTAATTTCTATGAAGAACTAATCTTTTTTCTTTCCTTGTGGTGCATGGCCTTTTCCCACATTTTCTGTCAGTAGAGGGTCATTGTTTTTTCCATTCCTCTTCCACCCAAAAGGATTTAACAGTAGTAAGTATACCAATATGGGATGCCTGTGCCAGATGCAGAAAGTCTATGAAGTATATGAAAAAAAAATCAATAGAAATTCAGTCAATATAAATTCATGCATGTCATTAAAGGAGTCAAAGGAAAGAACCAGATCACAAAGCATCTAAAGGATCTGCAAGACTTTCCCAGTATTTCCCACTTTATCCCAGAGCTCGTATTTTTATGGTTTTGTTCTTCATTCCATGCATTTGTCTCGAATGCAAAAGTTCTTCACCAACTTCATTTGCAGACTGGCAGAGGTAACACCTTCATGCTCATCCTATTAGCTTCACTGTGAATTTCAAATCTCAATTATTCATATCACCCATGCATATGCCCCAAATTGATTAACGTGTTCTTTTAATATTAGATTGCAAAGCTGAAGATGTTCATCTGCCTCTACCTCAGTCTGTCACATCATCATGCATGGCACATCATCTAAATAAATAACTTCACACAAGAAGTTACGCGAGAGCCAGTCACATCAGCCAGGTGCTGCTACAATGGGATGGCTCTGGCGTTCTCAAATCCAGATGTTCAAACTCATGCTCTATAAGAACCTATGAGCGCAGGCAACCAGATCAATACTGATCCCTAGAACATCTGGCCAAATGGATGCACTGTTGTTTAACAAAGGCATCGTCAGCATTGTTTACAGTACCTGCCTTAGTTTTTTGATAGAGTTCATTATGCAAGGTGGTGGTAACAGCTGCAGAAGAATGAATATGTTTTCATTTGATGACATTTAACACTATAGCTTAAGCAAATTCTCTATATCTCAGAAGCTACTTTAAGTGAAGCATGTTTATAAATCAACTAATGGAAGATTAGATGCAATTCTACTCGGCAGACAACTTTGCAATAGCAAGGTATTTGGCTTTCTCAGTATATCACTTGCTACTCTGACTACCTGCTTCGTCCACTGAGAGATTTTACAGTTATTCAGGACTTGGAACCAGGGTTCATTAAACACAAACATCCTATGGATTTCAATAATGTTCAGTGGCCACGTATGTGGCAAATAAAGCACCTCAGTGTTACAGCATTCATTGAGCTTGTCTGTTAATTCAATTGTACCCTTCTCGTCACAGGTGTTTCCTTCAGATGAATGCATTCATTATTTCTCTCCTAAAACATCTACACTATGTATGCATCAAGGTAAAACTAGTGAATAGGTTTGGCTCAAACTCACACAGACACACACATTAATAGGTTACAAGTAATTTTTCTTTCCTTTCTAGACACAAAGGCCAGAGAGGAGAATGAATTTTCAACACACGTTCATCGAAGGCACACAGTTAAACTTTTACAAGACTACTCACGCAAAGCCTTCAGCAAGAGTAAGTTAAGTGGAAAGAAGAAGAAAATAAAGTGGGAAGTCCTGAACATACTGAATTCAACAGCAAACTTCTCAGAGAATTCACAGGCTTTCACTCAGTAATTTTCAACCTTCAGTTTTCATGTAGATTCAAGCCTTTGGCCCACCTTTGTAGCAACAGCAATAGTATCTTTGTGTCTACTCTGCAGAAGAACACTTGAAGCCGAAAGCTGCCTTGAATTACACTTTGTATAATCAGCATGTAAATCTAACCAGAATTTAATACTGACCAAATTTACACAGGAGGATATTCATCTGACCCTAAGCTATTTGTATCCTACATAGTCTACAAAACCAGAAAGAGAGCGTACCTTTATTATAGCATGGGATGCTCCTATTTTGCCTTGCATATTTTTCTAATACATTGGCTAGAATTTGCATTTTTTTAATCCTAAGGCTCCTGGATTTCAACACTGGAAACTCAGACTTGTGCATGCTAAGCTGAATGCAAGAAGCACTACACTGGCCTAAGAGATCAGTGAAATGGTCCCACAGTTTGCTCTTACCAGACTCCAAATTTGATTCCATAAAGCTGAGGACTGCAGAGACATTGCTTTCCTTAGTAGCCCTCATAACACATCTTTATAGCTGTATTTTATACATAGTTCTGTAGCTAACGGAGAGACCATTGTTCAAGAGTCGTTAATGCATTTCAACATCCTAACTTAAGTGAATGAAGTACAGTGCAGGACAAAAGGTACAGGGCTTGCATGAACTCCCTCTAAATCACAGCATGGGATTCAACCATAGAACACTATCCTGCAGACTGCATCTAACACAAACATCCTGCCCTGGCTGACAATATGACTATGTCTGTATTGCAAATAGATATGTGAAGGCAGCACAAGCAGACACAATGGAAATCCAGTGGCATGGACTCTGTCAGCCTGTCTGCCTACTGCTAGCCTGTACTAAGACCATACCAGCACATTCTTACTTTATCAGGTGAAAGCTACCTCAGGTGTACATGCATGCACTACAGCCACACGTCCCCCACAGCAGACACAATTAATAAATAAGAACAAATGGAAGTGGGTGGTGTTTGTAGGTGAAAAGCAAACTCAGGGATGTCTGAAACTGGAAAGGTAGTCCAGGGACTGGGAGAACCTCCCAACTCAGACATGGATCTATCCCACATTAGAGAGAGGCAAATGCTCTTGGGTAGCACACAGAGCATGTTCAAACCTGGAATTTTGTAAGTATTTTCTTAACTAAACTATTCATGTGTAGCTGCTCCATACATATAAAAAAGGAACTGATTTAACTGACGGGGGTTTTTTTTCCTCTAAAAAGCATGAACCATTGTTCATGAAAAACCATTTCTTTTTAACCATCGCTTTAAAGTCAAGTGCTTTTCACCATTTTCATTTGCTTCATATTTGTTTTAGAAGAAGAACTTGTGGAAGAACAATACTACAGCTCCCAAAAGCTCATTTAAATCTAAAAATAAATAAATAAAATGGAAATAAAAGTATTTCATTAAACAAAATAAAAAGTGTGAGAATTAACACACAACACTGCACCACATGATGCAAAACAGCGCCAGTGCCCACGGTGGCAAGTGAAAGCAGAAAGCTGCGTGGCAGAAGTAGGAGCAAGCACAGCAAATGACAGTCATGAGGTATCTTCCCGGTAAAGAAGACTGTTATCAACACCATGAAAACACAACAGCCAACCTCTGCAGAGCGTGGCCTGCGCAGAACCAGACTCTTTGGATAAAAGAACTCAGATGAGGAATGCTGTCATGAAACACAAAAGGGAAAAAATGAGTGAAAAGGAAAGCAGTTTCCCCAGTTCAGAGGTAAAGCGCTCTTTTTTCAATCAAGTTACTAATATCTGCTTGCCAGATAATAATCTGTGTGTTGTAATATCTGTGTCACTTACTGATCCCTGCAGAATCACAACAGGCAGACAGTTATAAAACACCTCCTAAGCAATATATATATTTGTAACATACATATGGTTGCTTTATTTTCTGCTTGTTTTGGCTTTGTAATCTTCCACAGATATCCAGTGGGGGAAAGATCTAAAGCAACCGTTGTTCCAGATCTTGACCACGTAGAATGCTGATTAGTTTATATCACAACTCAGTTACTGAGAGAAAACAGAACTTGCTGAAAACTTCTGAAGTTACTTCTATGATAAAAGAGCTTTTTGTTTTGTTTTGCTCTATAGGGAAAGGAAACACAACAAAGCAAACAGGCCATGGCACTGTTTTTTTGCAGAACCACCAGAAAATCTAGGCCTGACCCTGAAAGTGGCTATATCATGTATTGATAAACTCACAAACCAGATTCCAATTCTTACATCAGGTCTAAATGTATGTCATAAGAAACTGAAAGCCAAAGTACAGTTCATAATTTAAAGGCAACATGTTCAAATAAGCACACAGTTCCCCCAGCTTCATTTGTTTCTGTACCTACCTGTTTGCTACTGCCTTCATCTGAGTGGCAGCATGAAATGTGTCAAGTCATCAAAAGGAATTCAAATTGATTTTAAAATAAGGTGTCTGACATTGCACCAGAGTAGATAGAGACTGTGATGTGCAGTTGAAGGTAAGAATTCTCCATCTCTCCAGCTGGTTTCATTATAGTGCACTTGTCAATGCCTTTAAAAGGCATATTAAACCTCTGCATAGAAGCTCTCACCCAGGAACAAGGTGACCTTGGGTAGTCGTGCAATAACATGTCTCGTATGTTCCCTTAATATGCATTCTTTGCTTCACTTCATTCTTATGCAGGAACTCACTTAGGCAGAGTCTTGCAGGTGGATGAATTCATTTACATCATTCACTTCAATTCAGATTAGCTGAGGGGGAAGAAGACTGACATGCTTGAATGTGTGATGGACAAAAGGAAAATGTTTGAATAGGACTTTGGCCATTTCCATGGGGAATGGGAATAAGCCAACTGACTTGTAAGCTCAGCTAGAGAAGGTTCAGAAGGGCCACCATGTAGTCAGGAGTGCTTTGGTAAGACTCTTGGGTCCAAATGAAAGGGAGGTATTGTACCCCAACCATTCACTACAGAGCACTAGCATTCTGATACATAAGTAGGGCCAAAACACGATTTTACATTCAAATTGTTAAAGGAGGAAGAAAATCCAGCCTGGCACAATTTTCCATTTTCTTATGGAAAGTCAGGACAGAACAATGAGCAAATGCTGGATGGTACCTACAGCAACGTTTGGCCATGTTAGACCACGTGCTCATACAGGTCTAGTTATACCTCTGCATTATCGGGACAGTCCACACTAACAAGAACTCTGCTCGACAAGAATTTATCTGCATGTTGCCATGATCATAGTGAATTCTCTGCGGGGGATGTTTTACAGACCAGTGCACCTGAATAAATTCTGAAGGACGTGGCTTCCTGTCAATGAGCCATGACCATAGAACACAACCCACAGGATATCCTAAGGTACGTGACAGTACCTGTTAGTTTCCTTGTCTGAAAGACATTTTATTCCTATGCAATCTCTAATATTCAGAGAAATTAACAAAGTTCAAAGGACCACTCGAGACATCAGAAAGAGTAAATTGATTTAGTGAGTATGGGCTTAGAATTGCCTGCTGTATGCAAAATGCCAGGCTCCAACATTTGTCAGTGCAGCATCATTGCTATCAAAGATTTGACACACAAAATTTGTCTGGATATGGTGAGGTGACTCCATGGGTAACTGCAGATCTTCTTGGCATTCAAATTAGGATCACCTTAGGGTGAGGTTTACTTGGATGAAAAAGCAAGAAGAGTCCATACTGCCTAACTGCTGTAAATAACCATTCAGATCAGGGGATGAACTATAGAGCAATTATAGAGATGTGCAAAAATACTAAATATATCGTAGCACTTGCCCTGTTCACATTTTCTCCTTGTCTTTCTCAGAGTGAGATACAAAATGAAATGTCTTAGAGACTTTGCCATGTCTGTATGTCAGTAAATGTCACTACTTTTAAGGCAGTGTGCTGAGACAGGTATGTGGAGGTGGTGAGGCTAAAAATCAGAGCAACACCTCTGAAGTGCCACCACTATGTATTCTGCCAGTGGTGACAGCTATGCAAAAAAAACCCCACAAACCCCACATGGAAAAAGTTCCTCTTTTAAAAACAACATCCAGTTATTGTGTGTGCAAAGTATCTAGTGTGTCTTTGCTATGAATTCAGCTTACCCGTAGTTTCTCTTCAGTCTTAGTGGATTGCTTACAGTCGGGATGCCAGACAGTGGAACCTGAGGGAGAAAAATCAACATCTTTAGTCAGAACAGAGCAGATAACCTATGGTCATGATGAGTTAGTTATGGAAGAGAATCCCTTCATTGCCATCAGATGGTGAATCTGTATGAACTATGCAAGCCATTCAAATTAAATTCTAGCTCATGAGAACTACAAGTGAAAAAAACCCATATTCAAATCCTCAGCCCATCTACAGCAGCCTCTTCCTGAGGCTGTCAAAGCACTTTGCACACATTCTTAATTAAAACTCAAAGAGCCTCAAGCAGCATGCATCAGTCAGAGGAACTGAAAGACAGAGGGTTCCTCTGTGCAGGACAGAGGGTAAGAGCAAAATAACTGGGCCACAGTTACCCAGTCTGTTCTCCCCTTACATACTGCACCACATGTAAAAGGGAAGTTCTGATTATAGGTCCATATATAGTGGGAAAGTCTTATGACTTCCTTGAGCAATAGGTGTCATATTCAGTAACTGCAAATTATTACTCAGATCACCTCTTCCCTGCAATTATGCAAAATGCAACAGGAAAGGCAAAACAAGAAAATTCACAGTGCAGGAGAGTCAGGGCTGTATCTCACGCACTGAACTAAGCTAGAGAGGCCAGTGGTGAAGCACCGCCATGTGAAAGAGCCTCTCCATACATCACAGTGTACCATACCTGCCATGGGCACACACATCATTGTACCCCAACGTCAGTGCCATGTGTTGCTCTGGCATTTCCACATGGCATATTCCAGCAACACATTCTACTATAAAAGGCAAGGTCTGTGCTGTTTGTGTCCCAAAACCTGAGATTCTTCCTTATGCTATAAAAATGAAAATATCATAGAATGGTTTGGGTTGGAAAGGA